CTCTGCCCCTGCTCTGGGTTTGGTTTTTGTATTATTATTTTGTATTTGAATTTTCCTAGTAAAGAACTGTTATTCCTATTCCCATATCTTTGCCAGAGAGTCCCTTAATTTCCAAATTATAATAATTTGGAGGGAGGGAGTTGACATTTTTTCCATCTCAAGAGAGGCTCCTGCCATGCTTGGCAGACACCTGTCCCTCAGACCAGCATGAGCCCATGGCTCACCCTGCAGAGCCCACCCTGCCCTCTGAGCCCTCCTCCCAGGGATGCTGTCACCCACAACCTGCTCATGCTGCTTCTGCTTGGCTTCCTCAGGAATATCTGAGCAGCACCCCCAGGAAAGGTGATTTCTGATTCCAAACTCCAAACCATGGACTGCTCGTGGTGCAATCAATTCTCTGCCATTCATCCAACCCATACCCACGCTCAGACACAGAGCTACCACATGAAGACACATCAAAAGCCTGGCTCAATTGAAGGGCTTTCCACTGCTGTCCCCTCACCTGCAGAGGCAGGCACTGTAGGAGGTGGCCAGGTTGGTCAGGCAAGATTTTTCCTTGATACCCCCACGCTGGCTGTCTCCAATTACCTTGCAGTCTTTCACATGCCCAGAAACAGTTTAAATGAGAATTTGCTCTTTAATATTCTCAAGGAAAGAGGTGAAGCTGACCAGTGTTTAGTTCCCTGGATTCTCTTTCTGGTTTTGTTTTTTTTTTTTTTTTTTGGACACAGTAATGTTTGTTTTTTTTCTAGTCATCAGGGTTATTTATGCTGATAAAAATCACTCTCGTGGTGACATCTGTCAGCTCACTCAGCACCCTCAGCTGTTTATGTTCCTAGAATAAGAATCCATGGCTGTTTCAAGCATCACTCAAAATACAATTTTAAAGTGAATAACATATTAAAGAAAAAAAAAAAACAACAAAAAGCAACCTAGGAGGGGTAAGGGCCTTAGGGCAGCTTTTATCTGCCAAAACAAAAAAAGAAGAGGTGGAACAACAAATAGGAAACACATCACTGGTCCAGGCTGCTGGGATGCTTCAGGATCTACTGGGAGCTGATATTTCTGCTGTACCCACAAGCCTGCTGTAAATCCATCACTGAGAGCACTGAAGGGTTCCCCAAATGTTTCTCTGGGCTTGCTCTGCTCAGAGTTGAAGCTCTACACACCATGAGCAGGAATGAGAATGGATTTTAAAGCAGGAATTTCACCTGCTTGCTGTTGACAGTCCAGAGAGAAGAAGTTTTCCCAAAGGGAAATCCCAACCTTGGTTTGTAACTGGAATGTCTTGTTGTGTCCCAAACATCAAAGGAGTTACAGACACAAAATGGAAATTACATCACAGGAGTTACAGACACAAAATTGAAATTACATCACAGGAGTTACAGACACAAAATGGAAATTACAAGCAGCATGGACATCACCAGCCCAGCAACCTGAGCAGGCAAGGCAAGGGCTGAACAGCACATGGGTTTGGTTTTGGTTTTAATTCCCCAATGACAGTGACACACAAAGACAGAGAACCTTCAATGAGCTTGGGAATAACCACTCAGCATTTCGAGTGGTGGCCTTTCCAGAATAACATGTTTATAGTTTATACACAGCCTTTGATTCTATGCACTGAAAATGAAAAGAGCCAAAGTGAATGTTTCCTCCTTCCCAAAGCTTTCAGAGGAAGGGAAAACCATTTTTAGATTTACTTCTGAAGGACCAGGATTAAAGCAAATGTCTGGGTAAAGAATGCATTAATTTTACAAACATAAATATTTTTCTCAGCTACAGCATCTTTGATTAAAGCAAGCTGCAGCCTCATGCTGCCACCAGGCTACAGCTGAAACAAAACATTTCAGGCAATTTTAGCTCACTGCTGCAGCCAACACCAGTCACAACCTGCTCTTCATTTAATCCCAGAATGGTTTGGGTAGGAAGGGACCTTAAAGCTCCTCTCATCCATCCCCTGCCCTGGCAGGGACACCTCTCACTGTCCCAGGGTGCTCAGAGCCCATCCAGCCTGGCTGGGACATTCCAGGGATCCAGGAGAACCCAGAGCTGCTCTGGGCACCCTCAAAAGAATGAATTTCTTCCTAACACCCAACTAAAACCTGCCTTTTTCGATTTAAAGCCATTGCACTTACCCTGTCACTATGTGCCTGTCAAATTTCCTCTCTCCCCTTTTTTTAAGCCCCCTGAGTTCCTTCCCTTGCTTCTCTAAAATGCACTTCATGTTGAATCCAGAGTGCAACTCTTCACAAAAGAGCAACCACAAAACCTGATTATCTAGAGATTTTATTCCCTGTAGAAGATTTTCAAGCATGTGGCAGCCATGAAGGACCCAGAGCCTCCCAAAATTCACCCTGAAGGTCAGAATTTTCTGAGTGGAAGGCAGACACTGCATCCCTGCCCTGGAGCCTGTCACAGTCTTCTGCTCCCCCCAGTGGCAAAAAACCCAAAAATAATCCAGGGGAGCAGCATCACACACTCACACTGCACTGCTCTCACACCTTCTTCAAACCCCAAAATTCCCAGCGTGCAAAGGATTTTTTTTTTTTTTTGTTCTACAAAAAATAAATAATCAACGGTCTAGACGAAACATTTATCTCGATTTGTGCAAGGAAAGTTTTTGCAATTGATAAACATAAAGTAGTTGATAATGGAAACATTTAAAATTAGTCTGTAATCCTAAAGTTGACAGCAATTTTCTTGTGTTATGATGAAGGGAAAAAAAAAAACCACCTTTAAAAATAAAAATGTTTTTGATGCAAGCATTAGTAGCAATCTTCTGTCTAAAAATGAACTCCCAGAAAGTTGCTGCCATGCAGACATCACTTTACTCTCATCAGCATTCTCATGTTTTCCTTCTCTTAAGCTTCAAAAAGCTTTTTAAAAAGTGAGCATAATAAGAATACTGTTTCCTAAAAGATGAACCAAATGAGTATTTTAAAAATAATTCTGACAGTGTAATTTGAAGATTTATATCTTAGATACAATAAACACTTTTCTATATTCAAGGACTGACTGCAAAATGACCTTATTTGAAATATTTTTTAGTTTCTCTTAGTGGCATCTGTGATTACTTACAGCTACCTGCAGTTAGGAATGATTAGAAAAAAACCCCAAGGCTTTTTTTTAAATTTCATGCACTGAATGAGCTGAGACACTGAACCCACATTTCAAGGTCCAAAATATTAACACAAGACTTTAAACATCATATGTAAGAAAAGAAGTTACTGAATCTCACCAGTCCAAACTGAACCCATTGCACACAAATACAAACTAAACTTCATTAAATTAAACTTCATTAAATTAAACTTCATTAAATTACCCTAAAACTTAATTCTAAAATTTACCTGAGGTTTTATGCATCTCAAAAGCTTTCCAACATAGGTATTGAAAATCACCTATAGGCTGTGCTGCTTTTAAATAGATTGAAATGTGCAATATTTACACAAAGTCAAAGCTATCTAAGGGTTAGAGAAATCCCAAATGATGTTGCAGTTAATAAGGTTTAAACTGCACCTAAAGAACTTCTACACTGCAGTTTTCCCTCTTATTTCCAAGAATTACTTCTAAACCAGAGAAATAACAGTTTGCATTGTTTTTGCATGCTCCAAGTTTCTTAAGAGCTGTTAAACTGAAGACATCACATCCCTCATTTCTGCTGAGGAGCCCAGCAATGACCCCTCACTGTGACTGAAACGAGTGCAAGGAGCAATGATGGCAAATGTCAACAGCAGGGTCACAGCAGGATCCTCCAGGATCCTCCAGGATCACATCAGGATCACAGCAGGATCCTCCAGGACATCCCTGGGCAGGGCTGCAATTGGGGACAAACTCAGAGTGAGGCAGAGCTGCTCTCTGAGCCAGGAAAGCTGAAACACAACAGAGATGTGTCCATTCCTTTCTATTTTTTTTTTTTCCTCCCTAAAAAGGAAGGTGCTAAGTTGGTGGGACTGGCTGAAGTGGACAAGAGAATGATGTGGTTCAAAAGCACTGAGTTAATGAGTTTTAAGACCTAACAGCTTTCTGAATTTCATTTCCATGCTTGTCTTTGAAATGTTTTTTGCAGGCTTTCCATGAGGACTAAGATGACATTGTGACAAGCAGCTTTCTAAGGATTTTTCTCCACTGTGTCTTAATGATTCTGTAAATATTCACACCAGGGCACAGCAGCTGCTCAGCTTCACTGCCATGGTTTCTGTAAATACATTCCAGTCAGGTCAGCTCAGTCATTCTGAGACCTCAAAAATAATCAGGATATCAAATATTCACTGACTGAGCTAGAGAAGACACATTTCCCCCAATAATTATAACAAGATTCACATTACTAACAGTTCAGATCTTTGCAGAATGAATTCTGATGGTTCACATCTATTGGATACTGCCTGTCAGAAAACGTGAATTTCATGTTTTGACAGAAACAGAATTACTGGTAACCATCTCCAGTGCCAAAAAGGACTGGAAAAAACATCGAGTTAGGAGTTCTAAGCTTCTCTGTTCAGCACATTGGGGAAGAACGTTGTTTCTAACATAGATGGCATGCCAAAGTTAGAACTTGAAACCTGTAAATTATAATTTCTGCCTCTAGAGCAAGGACTGGGACATCAACAGAACCAGCAAATGAATCTATTGTTTCAACTAATTTATTTTCTAGATAAAGAGCAACAGGGTCTTACTGATTATTATTCCTTATTCCTGTAATTCTTCAATTAAAAAGGTTTCTTCTATTTTCATTTGATATGAGAGAAGGGGAAGTGTATTCTGCAGTCACAGTGTCTACATTTTTATCTGTAAGAACGCTACTGGTGAGAGCATGAGGTTCCCCAAGGTAAAAGTAAAGAACACCCTTTGCACACCATGAAATGCAGGGAAAAAGGGTCCAGTGTTCAAATTGGAAATTTTCCTCAATGCCACAGAGACAGCAGAGCTTAGCAGGGAACCAGCTGGAAACATTTTCAAACTATTAAAAGTATTTTTCTTCTAATACTTTTCAAGGGAACAACAGCACCGTCTTCATTTAATTTTTATATAAAACTATGGAGGTAACAAGAGACAAAAAACTGAGCCTGGATCAGAAATTCTAGAAGTGTTAGAGAAACCACAGCATGGTTGTGGTTAGTGTAAAGCAGTGGCTACATTTACACTTTCAGGTATATATATATATATTTATATATATATATATATATATATTTATATACATATAGGTTTATATATATATAAACTTACACATTCAAGCATAAATATGTGTGTATATATATTTTTTTTTATATATATAAACTTACACATTCAGGTATATATGTGTGTGTATATATATATTTATATACATACAGGTCTATATATATAAATTTACACATTCAGGTGTATATGTGTGTTTATATATATTTATATACATACAGGTTTATAGCTATATAAACTTACACATTCAGGTATATATATGTGTGAATATATTAATATATAGAAATATTCAGGTATATGTGTGTAAATATATATATTTCTATACATATAGGTTTATATATATATAAACTTACACATTCAGGTGTATATGTGTGTGTATATATATTTATATACATTCAGGTATATATATATATATTTATACACATACAGGTGTGTGTATATATATATATAAAAAAATAAAAATAGGTATGGACACACCCTGTGCACTCCCACTGCCCTGACCCTGACATTTCTGAGCTGCTCTTCTCTTGACTGCAGTGTTTTATTTTCCACACAGTTCTCTGACTTTGCTCCAGCTTTGCACAGGTGTGCAGCAGCAGTTTTCATAAATTTTTGCATGAAAATGGAGAAGGGGAATGCAGTCAGAGACTCTCAATATCACTTCAACACACTTGTCAGAAAATGACACACTGCCACTCTACCAGACATGTCACCATAACATAAAATGAAGAAATTAAATCAATCTAATTCTGTTGAAGTCCCACACTAATTAATGCATTGAATAGTCCTGTCTGAACAAAACTGAAACTGCTCTTACTTGGTTTCAACACAGACAAGGAAATGAAATAAAAACCTGCATCCAGTGGAGGAAATTACCAATCTGAATCCATCCTGTGGGATGTGAATCATTCCAGGACACACAGAGAGAGACAGGAGCATCCTGGTGCTGATGAATTCAGGACCCTAATTCACTGTGTGACAGGGCAGTGCCACCCTGGGACACCAGAAGGATTCACATCCCAGCCAGAGCACAGAGAGCACGGAGACACTGCCAGGGGCAGCACTGCAGAATTCCTGAGGAACATCTGCCTTGGCTCTGCTCAGCCACAACAAATCACACATGGCATCACCAAAACTGGGCCTTTGCTTCTCTGCTGGGACAGCCTTCATGCCTTGGGCTGCTTTCTCCAGGAGGGAAAAAAATAAAATCATCCTATTTCTCAGAACAGGG